TTGACCTGAGTTTGTTGTTTGGCGTTAACACAAATAACTAAGTCATCCTCTGGGTCTGCAGAAGAAAACAGAACTCAGTAATATCGAAGTGGCCTTACAACCTTAACTCTCTCTAACTTAAAGTTATACAAGTGAAGTACAGTATAAAATAAAACTTAGAAATAAAGCATAACTTTTTTGTTTGATTATGAAAGTTTATATATATACATATATATCTAAGTGTCTTATATATCAGGTAATATTCCGTATTATATTACAAACATTCAGTTTTTTCCTTTTATGTTAAACTTGAAGAGTTCAGCTCAGCACTGCCGATACACTACATTGGAATGGTGGAGTCTTGGCAAAGAAGGATTTTTTTTTCACTACTGAAGGATCTTGTAGAGTGATGGGAGCGTGAAGCTTAAAATGTCTGGGGCTACTTCACAGTATCAGTGTCTCACTGATCTGAACCAATGAAAGTGTTCTGTAGTTGGGAGCAAAATATGATTGTTTCATATTTATCTGTGCTTGAAAGCACATGTAGCCTCACTCTCCCATCACTACAGTCACAGTGTTCCTTCACTCCCCACCCATCAGACTCTGCTTCTTTCCTTCTCCAAGCCCCGCTCCATATATACACACTATAACAATATATAGGGAAGGGGGCATGGTCACTAGCTGCTGCCTGAACAGTCCAAGGTCAGTTCTTTATTATTTTTTTAAAACCTCTTCCTCTCTTTTTCTGTTTTTTGTTTGTCACAATTAGCACCATATATCAAAAGTAACGAAAAATAAGTACGATAGGTATGAATGTGCAAACGTACAAAAACTGTGAACTCTACAAAGATACATCATTCCAAAATACAGGAGAGAAAAAAATAAAGTAATTAAAGCATGCAATCAAAGTATTGTGTAGTGTAGCATAAGGGGGCGGGTCTTCCGCAAGAGGAAGAGAGGGAGGGTCAGTTGGCACTGTGACCGGAACTACTGCTGCATCTTGCGGATGATGTCAGCAGACACCGGAGGGTGGAAGTTGATGGTATGGTGGCGGAGGCCCTGAGAGGTCTTGTAACTCTTGCCACAGCGGCACTTGAAGGGCTTGCGTACTCGAATCTGGGTCCGGTGGCCGTTCTTGGCATGGTACTTAATACCATTCACATTCTGTGGAGGATGAGAGAATAACTGCATTAGCACGTACTGGCTTTGGCCACGTCTCTCTAGATTTGGTTATTTAATCATAATTATGACGTAGAGCTGCCTAAATAGCTTACATGTTCACATAATCATTTACAAAGCTGAAGCTGATATTTACAGGAGCTGTGACTGTGAAACTGCAGGTGATCTCAAGTCCAGCTCTTTACCCACCAGGCAATGGCACTTGATTTCAGATCCCAGTTTAGCCCCAGCTCAACACAGGATTCAGCCCCCCTCCACATGTGACATCTGGCCCTGTCCTCACACGTCACTTGTTCCGACATTCATTTCCCTTTCAGATGAGCATGTCATCCTCCTCACGCTGGTAATTTAATTTTGTCAAGACTATGTAATTCATCTTTACCATTCATGCCAGATGTGAGTGGAAAATCCTATAAAAAAAACCTACGGGTTGTTTTGAAGTGGATTGGATACATGCATTTACAATGTCAACCCAATCTGCAACCGACTTGCTAGATCCCATTTTCAACATGAGGGAGGCCGTAAATCTGTCGTGGTGGCAATTCGTGGCTGTCTATGCTCTGTTCCTCTGCGGTACCTCCACCACTTCTGAGCTTTACAGGGATGGGACCTTATGAAATTATTAATTCTAATTACTTTCATTTGTAGTTCTGTCATTAATGTGCAACTTTATTAGAAGCAAATTTTTTTTAATAGTTGGAAATATTACATATGTTATATGTAAATTAAACTGCTCCTCATGAATGGCAATAGCTAAGACAAGTTGTTACAGAAATCGACTTGTAGTCAGCAAGTGGATGCAAGTGTGAATTCCACTTCCAGCAGTCTGCTGGTGTATCCTTGAGCGAAGTACTTATTCTAAGCTTCAGTATATACCTGCCTGTACAAATGGAGGGCATCTAACGTGTAGGTTCTGTAGGATAAGGGATGTTGGTAAGCAAATAAGTATTATGTAATAATGTAGTGTGTATGTGTGAGCAGATGGCAGAAGCCAGGATCACCTTGTATCTCTTTTTGCAGCCCGGGACAGGACAGGCAAAAGGCTTCTCGTCACCCCCATTCATGCACATGGAACTGAGGATGGCCTCGGAGCTAATCGCACTTTCAGTGGTCCAGGATTCATCGCTGTCTGACTCCTCGTAGTCCACCTCCTCTTCGTCATACTCACTACCTGAGGGGCCCCAGCGAGGACATGTTAGAATGAGAACAGTGGTAAAGCACCGTCACACCAGACAGAGAGACACAGACACTGTGGCGGATTCAGCTGTGAGAGAAGACAAGGGCCTCACTGAAGGATGAGACAGACAACAGATCATGAGACAGAAATGTGCCAGTAGCAGAACACAACATGTGACAGGCGTAGAAGCACAGATCGCTGGGAACTCAATTCTCAGAGAAAATGAATCACTTTCTCCTCATGGCAGAAACAGCACTTCAGCTGTCAAGAGTTTACTGCAGTGCTCATCCAATTTGAGGATTGTCATTCTTCACTCGCTGGTAAATGTCTGCTGGATTTGAAGGGAGATGGGTCCATAAAGCTACCCCAGCAAGACTTAATATTTGAGTATGTCATGAGGTGAGAAACTGAAGTATGATTTGGGGGGGAAGGGGTGGCAGAGATATACTTTGGTGAAGGACAAACAGATGGATTACAATATGACAAAGTTCCAATGGCAAAGATGACCAATGGCGAAGTCAATAAGTGAGACACTGAAAAGACTTGAAATGCCCTCATTACTGAAAAGCTTCAGTCCTTGGGCACTGTCGCCCTCACTTTCCCTCCCCCGCTTTCCCCCCCAACCCCCTCTTAACACAGGGAATTTTCCATTGTGGATGGCAGGGGGCTAATTGTACCCTGGCGGATGTTCAAAGTCCTTTTCCACAGCGTTTGAACAGCAGTCACACTGAGACAGAAAACATTTGGGCCTAAAAATTCAACATCTGCTTTGTACTTAAAACACCTACAGTATATGGATTCTTCTGTAATGGCCCTTAGTGAGAACATAGATGGCTCTGCTCTGGGTTAGGAATACAGAGACAGGCAAACAGACAGAGAGGCAATGTTCTGAGGAGTGAATATTGAGTGTGTGCCCCCACATTCTGAGGCTGTCTTGTTTCTATGGCAACTCAGCCCTCCGTACTGGATGACAAGAAGGAATCAGCTAGTGTGGGAAAGAATCTGGTTCACTTAAAAGGCCTTAAGGTTAATATATTGTTACAAAGTAATTCCAGCAATTTGTAAGGATACAATTTTAAACTGACCAAGATTTAAACCACAAAAACAATGAGTATACGAATTAGGCGAGACAGCGAAAAACATTTCTCTGAAAGGAAAAACATGGGAATGTTTTAGTCAGACGTTGGCGCAAGCCAGCATCACGGGGTGAGATGGGTAGGAGGCGCTGAGGAGAAGTCAGCATGGAGTTTTCTACATTATTTACTGGATTTAACAAATAGCTTTCCTGAGTCTTTTGGCATCCACAGAGCACCAGGAATGAGTGTGAGAACAGGAACCCCCTCTTGAGGTCTCTCTCTCAGGCATGTGTGTGAGAATTGAGCTCTTGCCTCTGGAATGATCCATCTCTACATGGGATCCTTTTTAATGCTTCCCTCCCAGAATCCTGCCTCCTACACTCACTGTCTCCCCTGCAGAGCTTTCTCTCAGACTCTCTCTCTCTCACACACACACACACACACACACACACACACACACACACACACACACACACACACACACAATTCCTCTTCCCAGTTTGTCTCACACAAACCACACCAATTGATGTCATCATTAAAATACTTGCTATTTCTTTCAAGTAAAGTATTCTTTTATCATTGTCTTAGAGCAGAATGTGATTTTTCAGGGCAGTTCACCTTTAAATGCAGATCTTATATAAGTTGTTGGAACACAGAGACCATGTTTTTTATTTTTTCATTTATGTATTTATTTTTTCATCCATTGACTTTTCCATTTTCAAAAACTACAACTTAGATTGAAAACTCACGCTGTGTAGAATTTGCCATAAAATGTTCACAGAGAGATTGTTAATAAAAAACCATTAACAGATTAAGATTAAAGCCACATCAAAATCTAGTGTAAATCCCACCAGAACCAAACAATCTTTTCAGCCATCATTCAGGCACCAAACAAAAGCAGGGCAATGAAACAGTCACAAGTGAAATTTCAGTAGGATCAATATAGAGTTCAGTAAGATATAATCTGTGGCCAAGTGTTTAGCTAATCAAATTCCACGGTACAAGACTGAATCATATGCCACATGAGAATTCTAACTGAGCCATGACGTTAATAAACTCTCTTGAACATGAAACAAAGACAGGCATGTGAACACACTCATTAACACACAGACATCTACGGACACCTAAACAGACACAGGCACATACACGCACTCAAAAAAACACACACGGGCACCTATGCACGCTCACAAACACAGGCCAGGCTTACCTGTAGGAGTACTGCTACGGAAGGAGGAGGAAGGAGTGATAGGCGGGGTGACGGGCGGGGTCAGGCTGCCGCTGCTGTGCCGGGGGGGTGTGGACACGCTGTTCCGGGACACGCTGCCCGTCAGGGACAGGGACAGCTTCGGCTGGATCTTCTTCTTCAGCGTCTCCTGCTCCCGGCGAGCGGCGTCCGTCATGAACCTGGATAAGAAACGCGCACAAACACACCTTACATTACCTTACTGTCATTTAGCACATTTAGCAGACACTCTTATCCAGAACGACTTACATCAGTTACAATTTTCACACGTTATCCGTTTATACAGCTGGATATTTACTGAGGCAATTCTGGGTTAAGTACCTTGCCCAGGGGTACAGCAGCAGTGCTCCAGCAGGGAATCGAACCAGCAACCTTTTGGTTACAAGCCCAGTTTCCTACCACTACGACACACTGAAGGCACACATGCGCATACATGCAGGATTAAACAATAACATTTAAACTTAAAGTTTAACCTTTTAAACATCTGAACCTGATTTCGGCTGCTGCAGAATTTGATTAGAAAGATCACTGTGAAATATAGCCTCCAAACCCCTGTGTCAGGGACTGGTGGAAGGACCGAGCAGTGTGTGGGCAGCAGTTCTTACTTGTGGTCCTGTCCACTTCCTATCAAGAACACAGACCTTGTATAATGTATCACATCTGATACTAAAAATGATACTTTTATGCTAATGTTGTCCTCTCCACAGCCAAATGTAGCATAAAATAGCATGGTGAATACAGAGAATTGGTGGTCTACATAAGGACTCTTTCGTAAGGATCCTCCAAAAAAAGGTATATCTTCAGCCCCTGCAGAAATTTTACATTATTAAAAATGTCCACATCAGTGTAATAATATATGTTTTAAATAAGTAATAACTAAGACTCTTTAAAACTTTAAAAGCATTATTTAGATTAAGCTTTAAGTTATGTTGTAAAACAGTCTTTGTAAATGTACCTCATAAAAATGAAATGTTAACGCAGACATTGTTAATAAAAAAGTGGAATCAACAGATTAAACTCAAACCACATCAAGATATGCATATAAAATCACCCAGACGCCAACATCCTTTTAAAGTCTCCATTCAGACACCATACTAAAGCACAGCTCATTTCTGGTGGGTCTAAACTGAAACTTAATTACGATGCCTTAAATTAGGATTCGACACAATGTAGTGTGTGTAGTCCAGTTACCAAATGCTGGATTAATTAATTTAATTCCTGTCCCGTAGGAGAATCTGGCTGCCAGTGTCAAGTTCTAAACTGAACCAAAGAGTCACCAAACCCAGAGCAAACCAGCACATACACAAACCCACCCTTGGACAATAATGTACAACTTTGCACATGAACATGCGTATGTGTACATACGCTGAGTTTCCTACAGCTGTAAGAGCATTACTGCACAGAAAAGGAAAGGGGATCAGGGGTATTTGGTTAGTCCCTGCATGGCGTGGCATATTTAACTAAAGAGCTACAAGTCTCTAAGTGAACAAAGAATACTGCACATGAGGAAATCATCACCTCTACAGCAACATCGCAGACATCACTGATGGACACAGCACCATCTCCACATCAGCACAGCAGACATCACTAAAGGACACAGTCCACATCCATGGTAACAAGACAGAATGAGCTAATAAACAGCTGCAGATGCCCCTTTGCTCACACACTCTATGATCTGCAAGAGCTGATCTCAAGAACAGGGGCAGTCGTGCATAAAAAATATGTGTCAAACCCCTCCTCTAAAAACTGTCAAAAATAATATCCCTAAAAAGGTGCTAACATAATCCTGTGAAGAAGAAATATGAATCTTTTGTGAAGTAGTGCTCTAACGCTTTAAAAATGCGGCCACTTTAACTCACAGTCCTTCTTCAACAAGTTGACGTGAACAAAAACAATCAGGGAAAGCACTGCATATGACTAATAGTCCTTTACTGAAAAATGTGTAAATCAAGTATGGTATACCCTTCAATGCAAAATTATACTACTCCATGGACCAGGAGCTCCATCTCCCTTCCCCCAATATAGGTCACATGAAAGCAGGTGAAAGTTGTGTTCAATAGGTGTGCATATGCTCAAACATGTTTCAGAATATAGGCTAACTATGTACATAGTAATAACATTAATGTTCTGTATAATACAATCTTTTCAAATTTACATTAATAACAAGTGTGTAATATTCTTAAACTACACATGGCTCCTATATGTGAGTAGAACTTTAAGTAACTCTTTATGAAAGTGCTGCAAATTAAGAACAGTGATGACGTATCGTTAAAAAGGTGCAGGCCCGCTGCTTCCGTCTTGCTACCACAGACATATGCTGGCTACCCTTTACATGTAAGGAGAGCTCATGAGGACCACTAAATATCCAGGGGTGGGAGTCCAGGTTACAGCAGGAGTACTCTTGAGGCTGATGAGGTTTTATGACTAGCTTTTATTATCAGTCTTTCTCTTAGAGCAAAATTGCCACAACGGTTTTTTTTTCACACTTAAGCCAAGCTTTTCCCTCCCGGCTTTCTTCACACCGCCCCGAATCTAAATACAAGAGCTGATGCAGAGAGGATGGAAACAACATTCTGAGGGCCATACGCAAACATACACCACAGACTGCCAACCGCTGGAAAGCTAACCACTGGAAAGTTTCACTCCAGATGGTGCTTAAGGCTTTGTGTGCCTGTGTGTGTGTGCCTGTGCTTGTGCCTGTGTGTGTGTGTGTGTGTGTGTGTGTTCGTGTGTGTTCCATATCATTTAACTCAAACGCTACACTAGAACGCAACCCATGGGCACATAGTTTGGGCAGGATTTAGCTGCTGTGGTTGTAATTGCCTTCCCTTCTCCTAAAACGAAGCCACGAAAAAGTTAAAATACCCTGCAACTCGTTTGTGCTCAAAAAAAGCATGAACCAAACTACCAGTACCCTGCTAGATTTTATATTTTCAAAACTGCATGGCTAACTAGATCACCAAAATTTACTTAATAGCAACCTATCTAAATCCTCCTCTGAATACTATAATTTTATCAAGTTCACAGGTAGAAATACTTCTGTCCCATGCAAACTCAAAATACAGTTTATCTACTGTGTCAGCAAGCTATCATTATTATTATAGCAGTATAATATATGACTAGCTTTTTTACGGTAATAGTAATTATTACACTGTAAGAACTACTATTATTGTGATTATAATGAACATGTGAGCTAGGCCCCTTGTGATTCATAAATGCGTTGACCTCAGAAGTGGCTTCCGTTACTGTAAACTCCCCATACTTTTATATTAGATACATACAGTTCAGAAAATGCAGCAGCCATAATAAAAGAACAAGGAAAGGGATGGTCGTTTACTTCTCCACATTACTGGAATAAACTCAATCACAAAGAGCAAAAGCCAGTAAGTCATAAGTGTGTGCTTACTGAATTTGAACCAATGGGGATGACAAATCCTTCTTGGCGATCCTTAGGCAATCCTCCAAAGGATTATTCACTCATTTACCAACTCCTGTGATTATCACTCTTACTCAGTGAGGCATAGATTAAAGGTTGTCTCTGCTCTAATTTATTGGACTTGAAATCTATTGGCTGGAGATCCTGCTCACCTGTTGATGTAGCTGAGGGCCACATAGGTGGGCTGCTGCAGCTCCTGTTTTTCTAACACCCGAGGGTCTGTGTCTAAAAAGGGAGAGAAGACACTTATTACAAGAAACACTTTTATCCAGTGCACAGTCAACATACTGCAGCAGACACATTCCATTACATTACTTTACATTACATTACGTTCATTTATCAGGTGCTCTTACACAGAGAGACTTCCAGCATAATAGAACAGAAGTGTATCCATTCAAGCTGAATGACCAACACTGTCAGACCAGGCTAACAACTCTCAGACCAGTGGGTGTGAGCATGACACTGTTCAAGCCCTGCAGACACACCTTCTCAAAACAAATGGGCGAAATAAAAGGCATTTTCTCACAACAAATAACCCACATATTTTTCCACAAAACATACATTAATGTGGCCATGTACACATGTACACACATTTTTCAGTATCCTGTTTACATACCCCATTGTTCTGGTTAGTGTGCTGTATTACCGAGAAGCTTGTTTGGTCTGCAATGAGTAATGTATTGAGTGGATCGCTATTTACAGCAGGTTGAGAGAACAAGCAGTCAAGCAACCCCACCATCATTACATCATATCTCCCAGGATGTTCACCGATCTGAGTGAAACAACCTGACCCAATACTCTGAGGATTACTTTACAGTAATAACAACAACAGTCCTAATAACAATAATTGGGGGCCACTAGTAGGAGTGTTTTAGGAGAGTGTGTGTCACTCCTGGGACAGGATATTACTCACACAGCAGACTCACACATCACTGTCTGGACCACAGAGCTCCTTGATCACAGCACTGAAGGAAATGCCTTAACCATGCCCAACTCACAATACCCCTCACACATAAATCCATCTCACTCACTTAGCCAATTAGAAAAACATGCTAAAGTGGAATCCAGCTGAAACTGTGTTAAAATGAAGGCTGAACTGGTCTTGGGATTCTTGAGATTCTTCGAACCCGTTTTTGGGTATGTCAGTTCTCATACCTGTATGCAACTGTGTTTGACACAACATTATTTCCTGAGGCTTTCCCAACACGCTGCTTCCCTCATAATGCTACAACAGGCAGATTCCGATCCTGACCTGAACCAGCCCAAACTTCAAAGGACATGCCCACAGCACGCATGAGCAGAGCAACTCCCTGCGAAAGTATGGCAGTATGGTAACTTAGTATGGCAGTAACTTGCAGGCTATCCATTCACAGAGCAGTGTGGAAATACTGACCCCATGTGGCCAAATATGCAAACATAACACTGTGCCACAGACAACCATATTAAGGCCAGTTGGTTTTGAAAGCGTGGAACAGATATGCAATGGCCAATGACAGAGGGACAAGGAAACACAATGTATCCCTCAGGACTCTGTCTAAGGGTTGTTCTGAATGAGAGAAATTGGCAAGTGATCTCAGGTATTTCTGGCATGGAGAAATAGTTTAATAGTATGGGCCTGACTGGCCATCAGTTCAGAGTACAGGTGGTCAAAACAGCCCAACCTGAGACTCCTACTCAATCTTACGGTTTCAATCCTCATAAAAAATGAACTTCTGATGTCAAGTAGTTCAAATCAATTACATCGTATTGTAACCTATACCCTGAGTATATCAATAAGCATTCAAAATATTAAGATAAATGGAATAGCAACAGGAACTCATTTCAATAAATAAAGGCCTACAAGTTCAATGAAACTGTCTTTCCTTTCCATTCAGGAGTGAGGGTCAAGAGTTGTTTCATGTAGAAAATTCACAACACTGTATTCTGAGCTACATTTATACATTCTCAGGGCTCTGTGTGTCTTTAGCCCTAAGTCACACT